TGAATTCAATTCTGGATTTAACAGGAAGCCAATGAAGGGAAGCCAAAACAGGAGAAATATGCTCTCTCTTTCTAGTCCCTGTCAGTACTCTTGCTGCAGCATTTTGGATTAATTGAAGGCTTTTTCGCTGTGATAGCACAGAATTAACTGAGTTGCTAACAATGCTGTGTACTACAGTCCTTCCCCCGGCAGTTTACAAGTAATGTCTCTTTGCAGATGATGCTAAAAACTCATAGACTGAATGTTGTCATTGTCTTAGTTCAAACTATAGGATCAAAGACATTCCTTTGTCTAACCACCTCTCCAGCCGATTTGGTGCAGGGGGAGGCTGACGTTTTATTGTAGATACATCCTATCTGATGGTTTTGTTTGATGTTTGGTAAGCTTCCCGCCCTTTTATGGTTTCACTGTGTTGTGTATGGTGAACCAATACAGGAACTGAACCATATACTGGGTGTGGGGGAGATTATCCCCTTATGACCAAGGATGTTGTGATCAGAAAGTCACGCACACAGAGAGACGCACACACTCACTCAAACACACACCCACACACACATTCTTGCACACTTGCTTATACGTGCACACACATACACACATATAGGGCCTTGTCTTAGAACTGGGGGGGTTTACGGTGGGAGGTGCTTGTGTTGTGTATTGTAACAGTTTTCAATAAAAAGGCTGCGAGGAAAACTGCTCTTTGAAGGATTTGGGCTAGAGACAGGTGAGGAGCATTAAGCTCCACCGCCTGGTTCTGATCAAGCTTCCCTCATTAGCGAGTAAAAGACCGGTTGAAGATGTTCTGTCTTGTTTTCGTTCTTCATGAGCCATAAGTCTCTAAACTAGCTGGGCCTGTGGAAACACAGACTCAACAAAGTAAAAGTAAATGTAAAGGAATGTCAGTACAGTTATTTCTTAGTTTTTTGTTGGTATTATGGTTGGTTTATCCTGATCGCCATATCCTGAGTATGGTTAATTCCCTTCCTATAGAGCCCAAGTCATCTGTGCCTCTGAGTTTGAGCTTGTAAACTTCTCCTTGATCTGTAGTCTGCTTATTTTTGGCGGTTTAACCAGCCTCTGGAGCTCAGAAAGTTTATGAACTCCGCTGTGAATTCTCTGTTTGGACTTTTATGTACTTCAGTTGTCCATCTAACTGAACAGAACATGATAGAACATGAGAGGTGTTCCTGAGAGAACATCATGATATTGAACATTGAAACATATTGAAAACTCTTTGCATCATTAAAATACAAATTCATCAAGTCAGGGCACACTGTTGTGAGGAAATAGGGCTGTTCAATATAACGATATATATCGGATGACGATATAAAAACATCTATCGTTTCATTTTACGCTATCATTTGTTTCGTGGTGTCGCAAAATAAACTGTTTACGGCAATATTTTTTCATCGTTTTGATGGTGACTGTAGTGGCTATATTAATTTCTTAAAGTTCGCTCTTTCTCTTATATTTAATATATGCACACAACAGGGTGTGTGCGTTGTCGTTAGCAGCAACGACAGTAAAACCATCACGTGTCCGCTTGTTTATTTTCCACATAAACCTTTCACAATAAAGCTCAAGATCTTTTCAAAATAAACTGAATCACGTGAAAGATTATGCAGAGTGTTTACAGATGAGAAGCAAAAAGAGCCGCCACGTGCTAAAAATAAACCTTAGACTCAAATGTTAGAACAGGCTTTTCGCCGCAGCACACTGTGTAATAAATACTCACAAAGAAAATGGCGGCCGTTACAACTTATGTCTAAAAATTTATAGTTTCGCGCATCAGTTAAAACACTCGACTCCAGGAACACGACGCCCAGCTGGAAACGCTTCAGCTGCCTGAGATTCACAGAATTTATAGAAAATGTTACATTTTTGTGATTTATATCGTTATCGGGACGATAGATGTCTTATATCGGGATATGAGATTTTGGTCATATCACACAGCCCTATGAGGAAGTTCTTCCAAACTCCATTACTGGCTGTATTTGTATCCCACTGCTGTTTGGTGGTTTTAGCCAGAGGTTTTGAAGTGATCCATGTCTCTGTTTCTATGTCAAATCTAATGAAGTCTTCCCCATTATATCCATAAAGTTCAAAAGCAACAGTCTGTTTCATCTCATCATCCTGTTCACAGCCCATAATCTCCTGGATAATATGAACACATGAAAGAGAGACAGAGACTGAAGTAAACTACACTGAGACTCTGAATCCAACTCATTCTAGCTTCTGTAGCATCTGTCACAGGTTTTAAAGAAATTTTCAGACTCCAAAGTGAAGTTTTTCTGATCTAATCTAGTAAACAAACAAACAAACAAACAAACAAACAAACAAACAAACGAATAAGTAATAACAGTAGTGGTAGAATAGTTAAATTCATGTCTTGCATATTTCCGCAATCCTCTATCCATAATAACATACTGTGTATGCTTAAATTGTATATAGTGTATTATCTTACTTATTTTTTATTTGATTGTATTTTATTTCTATTTTTTATATTTTTCTTTTGCTATCTTTACCTGAGCTGAGGTAATGCAGTGGTTCCCCGCCGTGGAATCTTATCTTATCTTAAATAAATAAAAGAACAGCAAATAGAAAAAATGTTAGAAACATACCTCCAGTCTGGTTTGAGTACTGCTTGAAACTTCTAGTTTCATCTGTTAGTAGCTGTTTATAATGTTTGCAGTTCTTAATCAGTGTTTCCCATTGACGTGGATCATCTTCCATAGACTCTCTTATCCAGTCTTGTCTCGGTTCTAGTGTTTTCATGTTGCTGTCATAGTGAGCTTCTAAAATTCCCTCAAGATCTCCTGCTGTCATATAATCTGGGGTGTTTGGAACTTCAGAACACGACATGAAAAAGTCTTCAAGGAGTGTTTGACTGTAGGACAGACACAGTTAATACAATTAAAACAACAGTCTGACTGTACATGTGAGTACATGAGTACATGTGACTTTTCTATTTTGCTAAAGGGATACTTGGCAACATTATTCGAGTTTAGTTATTGTAAACCATTATTTATTCTATTTGGAATAGTTTTGTTGAGTAAATTCAAAATTGTATTTCTTGACATGATCATGATCTTACCTGTAGATCCAATATGAAAGAGCAAAATGAGCATTATTTGGTTCATCATTGTGTTTAGATAATTGAGTTAAAGTGAAGAAGTCGGAAATGGTTTTACAGGTTTGTTCAGTCTGAAAATGTTTCCTGGTTTCTGTTACATGCTGAGTATTTGAAGCGTGTTCTGGTGAACAAATGTTTAATCCAACTATTTCAGAGGTTATTCTATAAAAAGGCTTATGTTCTAAAAGACTTGATCAGTGTTTTTGTGAAAACTCATCGTTTTTCGTTTGGGCCATTCGCCTGCGTGTGTGTTTGTTAAAGTCTAAAAATAGGGCACCTTACACAGCACAGATCTTGGCACATTAAACACCTCAGGGTACTTTTTTCTTGTTGGGTTTTTTTTTCCCCTGTGATGCTTCCTGGTTTAAATTTTGCAAATATTTAACACAGAGAGCTTAGCATACTGAATGTGGTTCAGTTACTCAGCTTAAGAACATTTAAATATTATACTGTATTTCTAAGGCACCTTTGATTCCATCATAATTTGAATATGTTTTAAATCTCATGTGATTTAATGCGATACACATTAATGCATTATATACTACGAAGAAAAAAAATTCTGCCAGCATTGAAGAGGGGCCACAGGATTTGGCTATACAAGTCTTATTATTAAGCAGAAACATACGTAAAAGTAGTTTCTAATTCAAATAGTGTGAATGTTAAGGTTAAATGTTCTGTCATGACGTTTCACCAGATTTCAACAAGACGTACAGCTGTTAACTCTGACTGGAAAACTTCATCTTGGATCCTTTGGCATAATACATCTACACTGTGTGAGTCAATAGACACTCTCTAATGTTTAAAAGTCACCCTGAGATGAGACCATAACCAAATGTTGTCTGCTGGAGTCATTACTGTATATGATTTTGGGACTATAGATAAATGAAAATGTGAAATGAAAATGTTTGAATAATGAATCCAAAATACCTCACTAAATGTCCCGGATGAGCCTCAGACTCATCCTACAGTTTTTATTTGTTCATGCTGCATGATATATTGATTAAATATATCATCTGTCTTTCTATGTGCTGTACAGTAAGGTTGGAAGTCATGCACACAAAAACCTTGAGGAGCTTTCTGTGCTGCCCCCCTGTGGTGACAGTGTAAGTTACTGTTAATATTGGAAGGAAAGGCAGGAGAGACACTTTCAAAGCCTGTTCTGCTCCTATGTGTCTTACAATGTAATTAATAACACATGATTAAACATTCTTTCATAAAGTATTCGTACATATTGTAAACAAATTAGATAAATTTTATAAGAAAAAAATGCCAACCATATTTTACAGTCAAATCTAGTGGAGTTTAAGTACCTTAATTTTCTTTTCTTTTCTTTTTTTTGCCTGTCCCGTTTGGTTCTTTTGCCATCAGAATTGTTGTCTACAGGCAAAGAAAGATGCCCAATGGATTTACTTTACCAAATGGACCATCCCGGCCTTGCCATATTGGTCTATTTGATTCACCTTTGCTTTCATTGTTTATTTTACTTTCATTTGCTGAACACGGGACAAACTTGACTGGGGAAAAGAAAAGGGAGAAAGAAAGAGGGAAAGAAAAAGAGCGGGGAGGAGGGCCGGTGATAAGGGGCAAAAACCAACAAAACAAACAGACAAAAAATACATATATCAATCACCTGGATCACCTGTTGAGAAAGAAAAAAAGAGAAAACAAGCAAAGAAAAGGAGAGCTGTCATGGTCCCTGTGCCTCACCAGCTGATCCTGTATTAGGCAACATGTTTTTTCTCTTTCTCTCTCTCACCTGCCGGGGCGGTGCTCATTATGGGCTCCCGCCCCTGGCCCACGCACCTGCTGCCTATCGGGATGATCGCAAGGCCGATTTAAGACAGCAGCACTGTGTCACTCGTCGCTGGATCGTTGAGCTATCAGCGTCAGTCTCTCAACCATTAGTGAGGTAAACTCCGTAAAGTTGTTTCCGTTCGTCATTAACCCCTATCTCTGTGTGCAGATCTACCCCGGACCTTTCCCTGCCTGCCTGTTTCCGTGTGGACGACTGAGTGGATTTGTGTTTCCCCAGTGTGGGCAGTCCTGGCGTTCCATATGAAGAGAGAGAGCCTTTGGAGTGCGTCTGATTCCCGTCTTTCCCCTCACATACCCCGGAACCCTGGACCCCCCTCCCTCCAGCACGTTGCAAATAGCATCACCTGGTGTCGTTGTTTAAATAAACTGATTGTTAACTCTGTAAAGATTCCCGGTCTGCGCCTCAGTCCGTTAACTAAAACGTGACAAGAGCAAAGGAGAGCCCCAGATAAGGGGTCGCTCAGCAGCCGCAGAGCAGAAGTCAGGGGGGGTTGCAGTGACGTGCCCGTGAGCTCCGCCTGCAGTCAGCTGTGCCAGAGTAACCGAGCCCCAGGCCGAGAGGCCGAGGGCACCCCACCACCTTCGTGATTGAGGTGAGAGACAAACGACCACAAGTGCGTCAAAACAATGATTTTATTAGGCGGTGGGTACCTGGACGCCCATCCCCGGACACAAAGACCCATCAATGCACCGATGTCTGAGGGCGTCTGGCAATGGCAGGGGAAGTGGTGGTAGGGGGAGATAGGCCTCCATACCTTGGAGGGCCTAAGATGTCCCCAGAGAGGTGGCGTCTGATACCCAACCTGACACATCGACACAAACCAACAGGCACACACAGATACAAACATCCATTCACACCCTTATGTTTTCACATGCAAATACTCAGCACTCACCCAGCGTGGAGACAGACATAAAGAGACACTGTACACACAATCACACTCCCCAAGCGTACTCTAGACCCCAGGTCTAGGTACCCTTGCCCCTGGAGGGGGAAACTGCACCCAGACCCAGTACCTTAATTTTCAAGTTCTGTTCAGGATAATCCCAGTAACAGACTGGAACTGAACCAGTGACCTTGTGCATGTAATTAAAATGTGTAAACCACAAACTACACCAGAAATTCAGTATGAAACTCCCTTCATTGACACAATTCCAGCATTTAAAAGTTATTTAACTGAACTTTTAATCATTTCAAATGTTGTTAGATTCATCCATCTGTTTTCTTACCCAGTTGTCCAGCTTAGGAGGCAGAGTACAGGTCAACAGTCCAGCACAGTGAGATGGACAACCCCACACTCTCACAGCTACACCTATGACTACATTAGCAATTAACCTACATAGGTTAACTGGTGATTTACTTAGGTTACCTGTGCAGACACAGGGGTAAAGGTACAAATTCCCCACAGAAAGCTCTACTGAGGGGCAACAGTGATAAGCAAACAGCACCTTGCTGCGTTTGGTGGTTTCAAAGCTAATGCAACTGACAAAAGTTTACTCTGAAAGCGTTTTGTTGTGTCACAAAGTCTCTACTTCCTCAGTGTTCTTACTTCATTGTAGCTGACTCAATAACTCTTTATACAGTGTTTGCGTCACACATTCAAACTTCAAACAATTGCTAAAATACTTTTCTGGCACAATTTAGATTTTGTAAAAGCTTGAAATGTACAATGAAGTAAGGTACCTTGATATATTTCTGTTTTCACTGCAAGCCTATTCTTACTGGAGCCGGTAACCATTGCAAATAAATATGAAATTGTCCTGCATTTCCTGTCCTAATAAGTTTGCCATTTATTTAAGCCTGATGTGGTCATATTTGGATAGAAGTATCCACATGTGGATACATACATGTTTTTTTTAAAGCACAACAGTTGTTATAAAGAAGACCAGTACATTTGGGATGATGAAACAAAGAAAAATGTTTTATGCCCTTTGTCAGGAGAACCAAATGATGAAGTAGAAATGGACAAAGAGTGAAAATGGGGGGAGAGACAAAACAAAGAGAGGAAAAGAACAGCAAAACAACTTTGGTGTTGAAGGCAGAGTTAGCAGGATGTGGTGAACATCCTGCTTTGTTTGCATCATCTCCATTTTAAGTGTTTCACATTATTTTGAAGTAACATCTTGAAGTTCCTCGATATGCTCAGTTCATTGTAGCCCGACACAGAGAAACACACAGGCAGTGCCTCTTGGTCAGACATCTTATCTCAACATGTCTTCAGAACTGGAAACTGCCCCACATTTTAGAGTGAAATACAGCAGTGAGGCCAATGAAAATGGAGAGGTGAAGACGCAGTACCAGGAAGTCAACTTACCACAAGGCGGTACGTAAAAACGAATCTTCAGGATTCGTGTGTTTGTATTTATTGTTTTAAAACAACTTGTGTTTAGTGTGACTCGAAGAACACATCATCATCTTGTTTTAGTTCCTATGACTATAACCACATGGTCACCTTATGGTAAATTTGTCATAACAGGTTAATTCAACTTAAAGAAAAAATGATGTTTAAAGTCTGTCAACTCTGCTTCATTAATGGTTTCTTTATAGATGGACAAACACAGAAGAAAAGAAGCTGTTTCAGAGCTTTTAAAGTGTGCCTGGGAGTGCTGTATCTTCTGATTCTTGCTGGAATCACGACACGCTGTGAGGAATTTTATTCCAATAACGACGGCAGTATTATTTCCACATTAGATATTTTTAAGCAACATTATTTGATGCTGCAAGTCTACTATTGTTTCCTTCCTCTTCTGACTTCATATTTCCATTTAAAGCAACCACCCTACAGTGTTTCCCCATGTGTGTTACACTGCTTCTGCAATATGACCACTGCTGAGGTTTTTTCTTCTTCTTTAATTGACAATGTAACCAGAGTAGACGTATCTTCTCTTTATATATCATCATAAACATTGTTTTACAGTCATTTTATTGTTGTAAGCCCACTAAAGAATGCTAAGATAACCATCTTCCTCATCTGACTCCTGAGACCTGTACCATAAAGCATTATTTGGGCTTAACAACAGAACTTCAAGTTTAGTCTTAAGCTTTAGATCTTAAAAAGGTAGATCACTTCTTACTGGGGTACCACTTGGTTTGTTTGTGATTTGAAATCATTATATAATATGCAACTGCTTACTGACCAATCAGTTCACTGGGAAATGGCGTGACCATGCCTGATCAACATTTACAAGCACTGGTGTGCTGTTAATAGGAGGATCTGTAGGTCTTAGATATATTCTAAAGGTTTGCTCTTTGCTTGCTCTCACAGCATTTAGTCTCAGATTGGGATATGGCTAAAACTAGCAACATCAAACAACATCAGACTGTTATTTAAATGGAAATGCTATTGTAGTTATAGTCAGTTTATCCTGTGATAAATGAAAATCAAATCTGTGAAACTGATATATCTTCTAACTCACCATTATCATTCATACATCTATACTTTTCCTTTTGAGATACAGATGGTCTGTCTGTGGCAGCTGTTTTTTCCTGCTGTTTAATCTGTCCATATTTTCTAAAGTTATAGTTTAATCCTCTATGTTAAATATTCTAATCTGCTGTTAATAGACCTGTCCATGTTTGTTATTAGTCATATGCTAATCAATGCTCTTAGTCACTTACATACACATGCAGGTTAAAGGAGAGCGGTAACAGTGAATAACAAAATTACTTTGGAAAAAAAAGTGCGATGCTGATTTTTACAATAAAAATATGGCTGTATTTATAAAGTAGAATATTTAGATGTTTTTAGTTTTTGCTTTGTTTTATTTCTAAGCAGATATTTCAGTCACTTTGGAAAAAGAGCAGCTGCAGAACAAATACAACAAACTGAGCAACAATTACAGCCAACTGCAAACCCAACTTTTAGGTAAGAAAGTTGTGCCTCATGTGCAACTGTAGCAGTACTCAGAATTGTATTTTATACTTGTTTTATTAACTATTTTCTTCTTAGGTCATGGAAGTGAATGTATATCAGTTGTAATATACTATTACCAAAAGTGTTCGCTGAATTCAGGTGTTTCAATCACTTTTATAGCCACAGGTGTATAAAATCAAACCCCTACGCATGCAGACTGCTTCTACAAACAGTTTTGAGAGAATGGGTCGCTTTCAGAAGCTCAGTGAATTCCATCGTGGTACCATGTTCAACAAGTCCATTTGAAAATTCCTTGCTACTTAATATTTCAGTCAGCTGTTAGTGGGATTATAACAAAGTGTAAGTGATTAGGAATGACAAACTCAGCCTTGAAGAGGTAGACCACATAAAATCACAGAGCAGGGACAGTAGAGACACATACAGGGAGTGCAGAATTATTAGGCAAGTTGTATTTTTGAGGAATAATTTTATTATTGAACAACAACCATGTTCTCAATGAACCCAAAAAACTCATTAATATCAAAGCTGAATGTTTTTGGAAGTAGTTTTTAGTTTGTTTTTAGTTTTAGCTATTTTAGGGGGATATCTGTGTGTGCAGGTGACTATTACTGTGCATAATTATTAGGCAACTTAACAAAAAACAAATATATACCCATTTCAATTATTTATTTTTACCAGTGAAACCAATATAACATCTCCACATTCACAAATATACATTTCTGACATTCAAAAACAAAACAAAAACAAATCAGCGACCAATATAGCCACCTTTCTTTGCAAGGACACTCAAAAGCCTGCCATCCATGGATTCTGTCAGTGTTTTGATCTGTTCACCATCAACATTGCGTGCAGCAGCAACCACAGCCTCCCAGACACTGTTCAGAGAGGTGTACTGTTTTCCCTCCTTGTAAATCTCACATTTGATGATGGACCACAGGTTCTCAATGGGGTTCAGATCAGGTGAACAAGGTGGCCATGTCATTAGTTTTTCTTCTTTTATACCCTTTCTTGCCAGCCACGCTGTGGAGTACTTGGACGCGTGTGATGGAGCATTGTCCTGCATGAAAATCATGTTTTTCTTGAAGGATGCAGACTTCTTCCTGTACCACTGCTTGAAGAAGGTGTCTTCCAGAAACTGGCAGTAGGACTGGGAGTTGAGCTTGACTCCATCCTCAACCCGAAAAGGCCCCACAAGCTCATCTTTGATGATACCAGCCCAAACCAGTACTCCACCTCCACCTTGCTGGCGTCTGAGTCGGACTGGAGCTCTCTGCCCTTTACCAATCCAGCCACGGGCCCATCCATCTGGCCCATCAAGACTCACTCTCATTTCATCAGTCCATAAAACCTTAGAAAAACCAGTCTTGAGATATTTCTTGGCCCAGTCTTGACGTTTCAGCTTGTGTGTCTTGTTCAGTGGTGGTCGTCTTTCAGCCTTTCTTACCTTGGCCATGTCTCTGAGTATTGCACACCTTGTGCTTTTGGGCACTCCAGTGATGTTGCAGCTCTGAAATATGGCCAAACTGGTGGCAAGTGGCATCTTGGCAGCTGCACGCTTGACTTTTCTCAGTTCATGGGCAGTTATTTTGCGCCTTGGTTTTTCCACACGCTTCTTGCGACCCTGTTGACTATTTTGAATGAAACGCTTGATTGTTCGATGATCACGCTTCAGAAGCTTTGCAATTTTGAGACTGCTGCATCCCTCTGCAAGATATCTCACTATTTTTGACTTTTCTGAGCCTGTCAAGTCCTTCTTTTGACCCATTTTGCCAAAGGAAAGGACGTTGCCTAATAATTATGCACACCTGATATAGGGTGTTGATGTCATTAGACCACACCCCTTCTCATTACAGAGATGCACATCACCTAATATGCTTAATTGGTAGTAGGCTTTCGAGCCTATACAGCTTGGAGTAAGACAACATGCATGAAGAGGATGATGTGGACAAAATACTCATTTGCCCATAATTCTGCACTCCCTGTATAATTAGAATTTTAAAAAGTTAGACTGAAGTTTGTATTCTTATCTATTGATATTACTTTATCATTATTATTAATATAACACAAGGTTCAGTTAGCTTTGCACAAAAATAGAAATGTCCTCTAAAGAGCTACTTTTTACTTTCTCAGTTTGAACACATTTCAAAGCCTGTACTTTTTTACTTTTACTTGAGTAAAGAAGTTGAATCAGTAATTCAACTTTTACTGGAGTATTTGTTAACAGTAGTGTTTGTATTTCTACTTAAGTACAGTGTGTCTGTGCTTTTGTCAACTCTTACTAAGCTTAGGACCTGGGGATGGAATAGCTGAGGAACAACTATTTGATAAATAGACTCATGTGTGCAACCAGAGTTTGAAGTCCAACAGTATGTCAGAATCCCAGCCTCAAAACGTTGTCAAACGTTGTTTTCCAGACCAAAGGAATGACAAGCTTTCATAATTTTTCTGAGCTTCTATGACCTTCTCTTTGTCTACAGAGAGTGCTGTGGCTTTTTTGTCCTCATAGAAGCTCTATTGAGACAAGTGCACTTTTACAGTCTGGTGTTTTTTTCACTTAATAATGTCATTAAGATTCACTAAGTCTTCCTGTTTGTCACAACACATACAAGCAATAGAAGGATAAAAATGTGAAATCTGTTTTTGTATCATGTGTCTGACTTTAAGTGAAGTGTCCTGTCGATTGGGCCAAATTTGGAATGAGCTGTTACTTTAAATCCACTGAGAGGAAAATTTGGTCTGACAGCAAGGCAGACTGTCAGTCCAGAGGAGCCAATCTGGTGATCATAAACAACAAAGAGGAACAGGTGGGTGTGTTTGTTTGATGCAACTGCCAGAAGTTCTGTGTTTTTGACCATCTGTCCATCTACTGTCTATTGATCTATCTATTTTATAAAGGACAAGAGAAGTGAACTGAAATGTTTCATCTCATTTAGTTTTTCTTTCAGACAAATTCACAACATGATATTACAACAACAGAAGTACTGAATTATGACTGGCCGAAATATTTATGTCTGTTTTCAATTAGGAATTTATTTAACTGAATATGAGAGGAGAGTCCTGGATGGGTCTGACAGCCGGTTACAAAAGTAAAACTGGGGGACATGAATGGGAATGGGTGGATGGATCCCCGCTGACAGAGGCGTGAGACATTTTCCTTTAAACTAAAACCAAAACCAAAAAGTTATTATTTAATACCTCCATGTGTTGGAAGACAGAATGGCAATACATTACATCAGCAACCGAATATATGACCCACATTTAAAACCGATGTCTGTAAACAGCTGAGAAAATATTTTCAAAGAGCAGAGAGTCAGCTCTGCCTTCGTTTTATTCTAAGATTTAAGAGTATGAAGATTTAATATTCATAAAAAACTTGAAAACTGTTAATGTACATGATGATACTCAGAGAAAAGTCTAAAGCAGGTCAATTGCGACAGAAATCTGGAAAATGCTTATAGAGAGTCATAGTTATATAAATGTGACAATTGACATGATTTTAGTCTAGTTTAATATAATTTTTTTTTTTTATCCAACAGGTTTTGGGCGCCAGGCCAGCAGGATCCTGTTCATGGTTTTTCTGCAGTATGCTGTGAAATTAAGGGGAAATGGACACGATCACAATCTTCTTCTTAATTTTCTTGTATTCCTTTCTGATTTCTTCAAAAGTTAAAATATTCAGTTTGATGGAAATATTCAGTTTACCAACAAGCCCTTAAGTTATCTAAAGACCTTAATTAAATATTGCTATTACTTTTTCCAAATATGTACTTTAGAATAATTGAAAATGATTATTTGATAAATGACTGTAAATATGTGGCAAATATGTGCATTAATGTTAATATTTGTACAGAGAAATTAAGAAAAAAAACATTCAGCTGTAAAATATTCCTTTTATCATCAAAAAAGTCAACCTGATAAAAAAACAAAAACAGCAGGTTTGATCAGTGTGCATATATCAGCAGATACTTTAGCTCAAATAGCATTAAAGGCAACAATAAACAATAAAAACATTTCAGTCTTTTTTCATAAAGGTGAACACAATTCAAACAATGTGTATTTATGCCTTCTTTAGCTTATTTTTCTTTATACGAGCTAAAGTTTAGAATATGAAATATACAAATACTTTCTTCAATTTTTCTTATTTATAAGCTCTTACTTGCGAAGTGCTTCACAGAGCAACAAACTACAACAAATCAATGACACAAAACCATAATAAATGAAAAAAAAAGTCTTATAAAAACAGATTTATGAAATACTACTGATGGAGACACTCTGACCTCAGTAAGACTGTTCCAGAGTTTGGCAGCTTCAGTCATCTCTGTTTACAAGCTGAAAATTCTAAATAATGAGAAGACCTCTAATCCCAAAAGGACCTGACTGTGTTTTGAGGTTTTTCCTTTTATTTTGACACAATCAGTTTGTAACTTGTGGCACTTTACAGTGCATGCTGCTCTGGCTCCGGTGCTCTTCTCCAGCAGCAGCTTCCTCTCTTGCCTGGCTGCTACTGAAATAGGGAAGGCATGATTAGAAGATGCTCGCAGGTACACCACACCCTGAACCTGCCACTCCACTCCTCCACTCCAGCCGAGCCACCAACCAACCCCTGCTCTATTTTCACCTGTAAAGCAGGAGTGGGAGGGCGGAGGTTACCCTGGTGCAGGTGTGCCGCAGCGGTCAGTGGAAGAGTCCGCGAGTTTCTCTGTGAATTTCCCATTCCATCGTTGCGCACTCAATGCTTGCTTGGAAGTTTAGGGTTTTTTTTCGCTGTAAAAAGAAGTTTTCTTCCCACGCACAGCGGACACTAATGTTTTTGTCACTTTTTATGGAATCAAACTCAAAGTAAGGTCAGTACTTCCACGCTTTAAACGCTGCACGCTCATACTCTCTCCCGCACTCGATATATGATCCATTGTTGATCTGCACACAGCTGTTGTCACGAACGTCGCACTCGCTTACGTCACTGTCATGAGACATTCTCGCAAAAAAATCACGGTTTTAGTAACGCAGTAACGCAGCGTTCCTACGGGAAAGTAACGGTAATCTAATTACCGTTTTTGCAATAGTAATCCCTTACTTTACTCGTTACTTGAAAAAAGTAATCAGATTAGGTTACAAGTAACGTGTTACAAGTAACGCGTTACTGCCCATCTCTGGTGAGGAAGAGGAGGAGGAAGAGCCAGCAGCAGCTGACAGATGGAGAGAATAGACAGACTGTTCCCTGTTTGTGAAGGACTGCTAGGAAAAGTTTAACATAACTAATTGTCTGTCCTGAATCAGTCTTATTAGGTAATGTTCAAATAATTTATCATCCAGTGTTTTCAGTGTGGGAGAAAGTACTCAGGGCCTTCAAGTTACACACTATGAAAGGCAGCAACAAGTTTAATGTTCAGAAACCTAAAGTTGTATCAGCAGCAGAATGGAGCTAAAAATAAATGTTGGTTTCAGTTCTATGAAGCTTTGAGTATTTTGGATTAGTAGCACTGCTGTGTTTGTTGCATCATATTGCTGTAATTGTTTATATGCTTTATATATTCTGAGCTAAGTTGATCTATAGTGTTACATAATATTCTATAAGGATGTTATGTGTTTGTATACTTTCTGCCCAGTTTGACCCACTTAGCAGAAGTCAGCCTGTTTAAGGCTCTGATATCTATTCTGTATGACTTAAAGCAGTTATGACATGGTCTGATTTTCTCACCCAATAAAGGAATATTCAATATATCAGTCTACTCTTCATTTTATCACAAACAGTTATTACAGCTCGTACATTTTCTTTTTATACATATATGTAAGCATTGAGCCAAATTTACTAATGCCAACATACTGAAGGAACAACATTTGTCTCATATATAATACATCTATATATACACTGTCAAAGATACTTGTCTATGAGTGAAGATTTAAGGTGATAGGACATATAAATAACTGCAACTTGAATCTTTACTGAAGCTCAGTATTTGACACAGAGTTCACTCACATGAATTTCACTCACATGTGCTGTACCAGTGTACCTGCACATGTGATGTGACAATAGAAACGATTTGATTTGAGAGTTCAAACTCACTGCTGTAATAACTAATAATGATTAATATAATAACTATAATATTGTCCATATCATATTTACACTGACTTTAGTCTCATGAACAACATTAACTAATTGTTATTTACTAGCTAATCTTAAATGACTGTTCAGTACAGAAATTAAGCCCAACAATCATGTTTTACAGTCCTGTGGTCTCAGCCTCAGATACTTATCAAATCACACAAAGATCGTGTAGAAACAAACAAACAAATGAACGAAATATGTTCTCCTTCATTTCTGTCAACCACACGTTTCCAGCTATCGTGGTTGCTAGGCAACCTGGGCAGCGCGATGGAGGCTAGAATGTCCCATTTCACAAGCTTCGCACTTCCGGCCTCATCGGTCTTTGAGTACGCGGCCCTTGAGGACCGCTGAGGCTGCGTACTTTAAGGCTGCAGACCCTGAATTGGGACACAGCCTATGTTTCTCTGGTGAAATTCAGTGTGGTTCCGACAGCAGTTTTATGTCAATGGACAATCCTTAATGTGTGAGTGTGTGGTGGTGGGGGAGGGGGGTAGAGGATGTGTTCGCCCAGGGCGCCAAACAGGCTAGGACCACAACTGATCATGGGGATCAAAGAATCGGGTTAAATACCCCTCATATGTGCCAGTCTAGAACCAGGTTTTTATTTTTTATTTTAAATTGGATTGCCAGTCATCTCTGTATATTAACGAGAACATTTATGAATGTTGATCTTTTTGGATGGCTATTAGAATACACAGGAAATATTATAACCTGCGAGGCACTTTCATGTTCATTAGTTCATTGCAAAACCTGTTAACTTGTGTTGATGGGACAGCTAATTTGTATCTTTTCTTTCTATATGGTATGCAGTATACATATGCTAGCCCAAGCAGTTTTATGTCCTTGTACTCCCTGCTGCTTCATTTCTATAAAGAATAGAATCAACTAGTCTGTTCAGTTTCCTTCAGTTACATACCCCAAAAAAGATGCACTAAAATACAATAATGCAGTTAAACATAGAGTTTGAAAAAATAATTTCCAAAAGCGTCACTGTTCAGTCTGGCCAATGTCTTCTTAAACTGAAAGTAAGTTTTTATTTTTAAATTAAGCTCCTTTAAATATTTTCATAAATTTTGATTCACATTTACTAGGGGAGCATCTGGTGAAGAGAATTTTTTCTTTTTAAGATGTGAAAAAAATGAGGGACAATTTTATGGGACCCACCTGGTGAAGTGTTTTCTCTACTGTACTTGAGATTTTATTCTGAGTTCTTTAACCTTTGACACTTGTATCGTTGCATTCATAATAAGGAACAATGTTTTGTTTCCTAAGAGAGAAAGTCAATATTGAAACCTACATATTTATTTCAGTTTGAGATTGAATCACTGAGTGCATGTAGAATCATTATATTATAGAACTGATGAACTGAATGAGCAGCCCACGGAATGGTTGCTGTGATTGTATATATGTAATGCTGTTGCTTTAACGTTTTAATGTTGATGCTGTGTACAGGAGAAGGTGGCTGATACTGTGGATTTGGGTTCATGTGCGTACATGAGATATAAACAATTAAATATTGCCTTCGAGGAATATGCAACAGTCACACAGAGATGAATGCTACTTGGTGCTATGTTTGTATTGTAAAGATTAAATAACAAATTATTCAAGACTTATATTTTGGTTTATTTTAATAGACAAACCAAATGTATAATCACTGAAGGTTGGATAAGCTCTTTACACTAACAGTGAATTTTATTTTTGTGATTCCTTCATAGCTCACTATTTGTCCTCCTGGTATTTTCGTCCATACAGGCAAGCAGTGACTAAACCACCCTTCATGTTTGAGTGCTTCATGGTCACTCTCCAGTTTGTAGCTCTCTCCAGACTCTCGGGCTGCTCCACGGACATTCGACTTGTCAGAATGGATGGGTACACGTATTTGGTGTCAAAGTTCCCCTCCAACAGGAAGTCCATTTTAGACTCTGCTTCTTCCACTACCTGTCCACAAGTGCTTTGATCCAACCGTGCACAACGAACAATTGCACAAACCTGCAGATATTTGACATGTGGCAAATAAAAGTGAGCAGAGTCATAATCAGTTTCTAACAGTTTATAAATATTGAAAATTCATTTCATTCCTACCTGCAGTGCATATTTGCTAGCGCTATTGTGGTTTCCTGCAAATGTGCCGAGTGCATAGAGCTCTTTATGGTCTTTCAGTAACCACCTGTACTGCAGGTGGCAGCAGAAAGTGCCGTTGCACACTTTAACATTGCCCTCTGTCTCATTTAAGAGGACAAAGGTAAATGGGTCTTTGTTCATCTTGGAGACAAAAGTGGGGTAGGAGGGAGCTACTGATGATGTGGGCTGAACACCACCTGCCTCCTCCTCTTTGGCTGTACTTTGGTTTCCCGCCAGTGGCTCCAAAACTGGCACTCTGGCCACCAGCAGCCTGCCTTCTTCTGGATCTCCTTTCCAGGCGTGGTGGTAGGTGGTAAAAAAAGGGGTGTAAATGCCACTTCCTTTCACATTGTATCGGTCAATGCGAAGGTTGGCAGCTAATAATGTGACATTGGCACCCAGACTGAACGCGTGTTGAAACTGAACAGAATCCAGCAGGGGGAGCGCATTAAACCAGGCTGTTGGAAAGATCAACTGACGCACACCCTAAAAAATGCACAACAAAGAAACCATGGATATCAAAGTCAATTTCAGCAAAGTTGGATATATATTCTGAGTGTGAATGTGGTTATATTTTATACCCTCTCCAGCAGCAGTACTGCAGGATCATGTAAGAGGATGTCAAAGCAGGTGAAGAGGCCAAACTTCCCAGCAAAAGGTGTATCAAATGTTATGATTTCAATTTCTGGAGGTGTGTCAAAGGAATCTTCACGGTAAAGGCTTTGTTTGTGGTAGCGTGCAATTAGAAGGCCATCTGACCTGTATAAAAGAAGGCTGATTAGATCACTGACTGCTCTTTTCTACTGATGCAGTCAATGCAGCTGGTGCGCTTTTTTTTTTTTACCAATTATCTGAGTTCTGGTCACAGGGGTAGCAGTGTGAGCAGAGAAGCACAGACTTCGCCTTCCAGCTTATCTGGTAGGATACCAAGTCATTCCAGAGCGAGTGATATAACCTTTTCAGTGAGTCCTGGGTCTACACTGGGGCCTTTTGCCAGTAGGACATGCCCAAAATACCTCACCCAGAAGGCGCCCAGGAGGCATCCTGAACCACTGCAACTGGCTCCTTTCGATGTGGAGAAGCAACTGCTGTACAAATCCATCTCAAATGAATACGCTCCTAAATCTATCTCTAAAGGCAGCCCATTCTCACTACAGAGGTGTAGCATCCTGACAATTTGTCACATCCAGCGGCGTTGTTGTTATGGTTATGGGTGAAATCAAGTAGAATTACGGTCTTGCGGTAATACACGTTCCAGCCATGTTTTCCAGCTCTAACCCTAACCTTACCCCTGACCCTAACCATAACCTTATCCCAAACCTTAACCAGCACTTTAATGACGTTAAATAGCGTTTTCTGAAGCGATTTAAGTAAAATGAACGAAAATGTGCATATTGATTCCAAACGGTTCTCATGTTTTCTCATTATTCCGATCTCATCATTTAGGGACGTGTTGGGTGCCTGGAAGCGTAACATGTTGAGGATTTGTCACCTAGCGTAAAATATTACATTTTGGGAGAGAGAACATGTTGCTAAAGGAGAGCCTTTTGAAGGAAACTAATCTTCACTGTTCTTGTTCCTTGTTCTTGTCACCTTGTTCTTCATACAGATCTGTGACCATATGTGAGGGTAGGAACCTAGATTAACTGATAAATCAACAGCTTCACTTTTAAGCTCAGCTCTCTTGTCATCACCACAGATTGTTACATTCGCATCACGATGGATGGTTCCCCAATCTCACACATCACGCAGTCAACCACAGAGTTGGAAACCATATGCTTCCAGGATGGTTTTCAGTTTCCTACTTTTATGTAATTTGTTTGTTTCTGGATTTTTGCTTGAAATTCTGTCTCATTCCATTAAAACTATCATAAAAATTTGAGACTGTCCATTTATATCTCCTCTGGTCTCCGGCTTCAATGTATATATATATATAATATATAATATATATATATAAGTAAAAGGGGAAAGCCTCATTAGTCCACACTGCCACCACCTGTCCCTCCAGCCTCCGCCACCTCCTTGGCACTGCCCCCTTGAGCTAAACCTGTTCCAACTTCCTCCCCTGCAGCTGAGCCAGGGACCACACCTCGATTTCCATATTAAAGATATAAAAGTACCTGAAAGCAACATTTGTGTTGAACTGCCAGTGTCCATCAGGAGGACAGGATGAGGAGGAGCTGGTGTTCATTGGACAGGGTTGTAGGTCGGGCATGTTGGCCACCAGGTAGATGTTGTTATGACGAGCCATACAGCTCAATCTCTGGAGAACCTTTGAGTCACAAAAGTAATTAAATATGATGTGATTCAGATATAGTGGCATGTTGTGAGACTAGTGAATACTAGGCATCACCAAATTTAAATATATGACTGTGAACCTCAGTGCTGTTGTATCTTTCGGACTCCGTGCATGGGTTCCAGCTTTCTGTCTGAGGGTCAGGAATGGTTTCCAGGTAGCCAGCAATGGATGATCGAGTGAAGCTAAATCCATGAATACCATCTTCTGGAAACACCAGGATCTGAGCACCCTGAGAGTGAAATAGAGACAGCATAGAGAAAAAGTTGGACTTATTAATCTGTGACTGTTTCATGAGAAACTCGTGGACTCATGGACTTGAGCCTGACAAAGATCACTCAGCCAAACTGTCCATTCTTGTCTAACTTGTCCACTGTTGAAGAAGAATGGACAGTTTCCAGTTACAGGAGTAAATTTGGACTGATAATACCTCTGTATTAAGGTATATCAGAAATGAAACCTCAAGTTTTAAAATATTTGTAGCAAATTTAGATGGCAATTTGAATTAACACTGTGGCAGTTTTAGTTAACGTCACATTTTTAGTCACAATTCTGACCTTTTGCTTCAACATGTTTATCAAAAATCAGGGCATGGTGGATGTAACCACATGGTTTTTGAGTTGCGGCAAAGGTATTGGATTCAGGTGCAAGTGTTGCTATAAGGAGGCTTTTGGCTAAATGTCTGTCATAGACTTCACGCAGCACCAGGATATCTGATGGCAGACCTTCCTCAAGATCACATCTTGCCAGATGAGCCTCCATTCTCTCGGGTTGGAGTAGATTGTTTACGTGCCAGTCTCACTTGCTGTGTCTGATACGTCAGCTGGCAAGTTATGGGCTCAAAATGTGGTCATAAATATTTTGTACTTGTAAATCGGTTTTGTACTTGTAAAAAAGATTTGTATGTGTAAAAAAAAATTGTGCGTGCGTAAAAAAGATTTGTATGTGTAAAAAAACATTTGTGCGTGCGTAAAAAAGATTTGTATGTGTAAAAAAGATTTGTGTGTGGACTTAGCCCAAAAAAACCCCTGCAAGTTACAAGTACGAATTTTGACCCTATTTTTCTTCCTTTAAGCTGATTGGTCAATGTCATGTCAATCACAAATTAAACAATCCAATCAGAGAACAGATGGGTTTGGCTGTCGGAGGGGCACTTTTTTGAACTGCAGGTCCTTGAAGGGTAATCTCTATATAAATATCCGATAGCAGTTAGGTCCCCTTACTTTCAGCAGCTGTTGAAAGGATAAAGTTGTGGTATATCAGTGGTTAGAAATACATTATTACTTTAGGATTAGTTTAACACAAAGTCAGGGCTGACCCGGACCATTGCTGTGAGTCACAGTGCGCAGCATAAAGGTCCTTTCACATCGGACGCAGGATGTGCTGCTAATGCTAACTAAAAGCAAAGGATCCAGAATTTGTTGCTGGCTGCTGAGCTCTGTGGGTTTTTGCAGCAGCTCTACCTGTACTAGATGCACCTGCTCCTTGTCGTTTCTATCTCTGACTTTATGTCCTCTACAAGAGTTTCTGTTTTTTGCTAGTTCTTCAAATGTTCAATAAAAACATGTATGCTAATTCATAACGAAGAAAGCTTTGTAATGAAGACTGTCATTTCCAAAACACTGCCCCCCCCCCCGTCCGCAGCGCTGTTGAAAAGGCTGTGGAAGTCCCTGTATTAAACACGTAGACCTGTGACACAAAAATCACCAAACTCGGACGACCACAGACTGTTTTCCTTCGTGGTGATGAAGGAAAACGCTGGGTTGGCATGTAAAAGGGCATTTATTCCCTTCAAAGACCTGCAGTTCAAAAAAAGCGCCCCTCCGACAGCCAAACCCATCTGTTCTCTGATTGGATTGTTACATTTGTGATTGACATGACATTCACCAATCAGATGAAAGGAAGAAAAATAGGGTCAAAATTCGTAGTTGTAACTTGCAGGGTTTTTTTGGCTAAGTCCACACACAAATCTTTTTTACACATACAAATCTTTTTTACGCACGCACAAATTTTTTTTACACATACAAATCTTTTTTACAAGTACAAAACCGATTTACAAGTACAAAATATCTATGACCACATTTTGAGCCCATAGCAAGTGAGAGTTCTCCAGCCTGCAGAGCTCTTGGTGTTATGGTCCGGGTGAGTGCTGGGGTTTTCCTACAGAGTCACGGTTCCACCCCTGGGCGGAGTCGCTGGTTTCCTGCATGTCTCCACACCTGCCACCACTTCTCTTCGCCAAGTCTTCAGCTAACCACACCATCCTGTTGTCTTGCACCTCCATCCTCTGGCAATACCCTCCTTTATCCGGAAGCTGGTTTGTACTCTGCAGCTCTTTCCATCACCGCACCCCTGGATTCACTCACCTGCCTGCCTTCCTGTCACAGTACTAAATCGGATCACCTTCTCCTGGAGGCCAAACTGCCTCACTCGGACCACTTACCCCTCCCTTGTTATTCCTCCACCTGCCAAATGTTCAGAGCCTCCAGGTTGTGTTTCCTGCCCTGTGCCCCTGTACCTATCCCCTTGTCAGAATTCTCTGGTGCTTTTGTAAAATCTAGTATTTCTCATAGTTCAGTATCATTCCTATTTGCTACGGTTATTAAAGTCCCATGTTATTTCTCATAGCTCACAGTATTTTTCATGCACTGGAAAATAAAAGTTCTGTTAATTATTGATTGATTGATTGATTGATTGATTGGTAATTTATATCAAAATGTGAACAATATACAAGTACATTTAGAAAAGAAAATAAAAGAGAAAAAAAAGAATATACAAATTACATACAAAAAAATATTCTGATTAATTTACATGTTGAAAGGGAGGGGGAAGAAGTATACACTTATTTAATCCCACCCCTTTGCCATAATTACGCTCATTCTTGCCTCCGTGTATGATCTGCATTTGAGTCTGGTTGTCTGGTTTGGCCTCGGCCATGACACTTGGTCTGGTATATTGCCCGGGTGTGGCAGGTTTACATGGCCAGCAGGGGCCTGCCCAGTGAGCTGAGGCTTACTAGCTGTCCATCAGTGTCTCGTTCACAAGTTCACTCTTGCTGCTCACGGCTGGTCGGCTCTAGAAACGGACGTTCAGGTGGCATCCGTAGCTCAGACTGCTGTTGCAGGCTGTGCTCCCCTGAAGGTGAGTGAGAGTTCTCCATCCTGTAGGACCCGCTCCCTGGCATATTGCCCGCGTGTCGCGGGTTTATGCGGCCAGCGGGGGCCTCAATCAATAGCTCAGTGAGCTACGCTTTCACGCCTCAGTCTGCTCTTGGGGTTCCAGCTTCGGGCCCTAGGAATCTCAGGCCCCAGCTGGAGGCCTTTCAAACATGCAGCGCCCGCACTCAGGGCTCATCCTCTCTCCAACTGCCCCCGTGACTTCTGGCATTCCCTCGGGCTGGGATGCTTCCCTGCTTGTGGACAGTGCAGGGCAGTTGCTCAACTCTGGGGATGGACCTTTTGGTCGCACCCTGAGCTTGGCCTCTGATACATCAGCTGGCGGAGTGAGATTTCTCCAGTCTCCAGCGCTGGCTGTCTGTCTGGTGTATTGCCCACGTGTAGCGGGTTTACGCAGCCAGCAGGGCCCAAATCAGTAGCTCGGTGAGCTACACTTCCTGGCAGTCGGCCTAGGGGCTTGCAGGCTGACCATGAGCCGCTGTTCAGTTGCAGTCCTTTGGTCTGCAGGACTCGCTCAGGCCAGCCTTGCATCTGTCAGACTGATGCCTCCACCCCCCCAGCTCACCCTTGCAACTGGCGAGGCCTTGATCGGTGTGGCATGTACATTTGTAAATAGTTCATTGGTATACTTCACTCTAGGATTTGGTTGAACTGTCTCCTTGCTGGGTGTCTTAAAGAGTTACTCCGTACTAGAGATGGACCGATCCGATATTA